AATCTCTAGGAATCATACTCACTGCAAGCCACAATCCTGGTGGTCCTAAAGGAGATTTTGGCATTAAGTTCAACTGCGAAAATGGTGGTCCAGCACCTGACCATGTGTGTTTTTTCAGATATTTAGCTCATTCTTTCGGTACCTCGAAAACCTTTTATGTAACATCTCATTTTAGGTCACAAATAACATCTATGAGATAACCACCAAGATATCTACTTACTCAATATGCAGCGATCTGCAATGCGATTTTAGGACGATAGGAAGGTTGGTATTCTACTATATTCATCTGTTGTCTTTACATTCTTCAATGGATAGTAGACCTTCGAAGCATATCATTTTTGTGCTTTTTCCGGGAAATTTTATCAAACTAATATTGTTGGTACTCCATAACATACCTCATTCATCTAGAAGCGAATATGACATCGATGGTGTGGGACACTTTGTCGTTGACGTCATTGACTCCGTCAAAGACTATGTTGAGCTTATGCAGAAGATATTCGACTTTCCTAAGGTGATTCTAAATCTTTGACCAACGAAAACTTTTTCTTGCACACGACCTATTTTGATATTCTGTTGTAGAGTTGCCGTCCTCGCTACTGTTACGTTTTTTTTCTTTAAATTTTCTGATCAGGAGTCATCTAATTAGCTTCTGAATAAGTTTATTTTTCAAGATTAAATCTCTGCTATCTGGCGAGTTGACTGGGAAGAAGTTCGAGTTGCTGATTGATTCTATGCACGGTGCTACAGGCCCCTATGTTTCAACCATCTTGTGCGATGTGCTCGGTGTTGATAGTCGCTGTTGCATGAGGTACATATACTTGCGTTCAAGATCTTTTCTTTCATTTTTGTTGCTTAATTAAGAGAAGGACTACTTATGCCTATGAAGCGCGCACCTTTTTTGTGTAGCTAAGCAGGACATAATAACTTATGTGCAAATAGCTTCAACCTTTTTACGCAAGCTTAAGTTTTGCGTAGTTATCAGAAGGAGCAATGACGCATCTCCTTTTTTCGGACATTAAATGATCCTTCAAATCTAACTGCTACGCTTTCTTCCTAAGTTATAGCGCCCAATTTTACAGCATGAATAATCATTTTTGTTCTGATCAGTTTTCTATAGATATATTTGATAGCATTATGTTATGTTATTCTTGTTACACCATATTTGATTTTATATTTGCTTTACGAAACAAAATACTTAATTAGCTGTTTTGAAGAACGAATCCAAAACCAGATTTCGGAGGGGGCCATCCCGATCCTAATTTGACCTATGCTAAGAGTCTTGTTGATCAAATGAGGAGAGGAGAACATGATTTTGGAGCAGCTTTCGACGGTGACGGGGTTAGATTTGTGTGAAGTTCTCTGGAAGCGTGAAAAAGCATTTTTTGTTGAGGATCGCAACATGATTCTTGGGAGAAATGGATTCTTCGTGACGCCTAGTGACTCACTAGCGGTTATCGCAGACAGTTGCAGCTGTATTCCGTATTTCCGCTCTCATAAAGTGGCCGGTAGGACTAGTCTAGAAAAGTCTCGAAGAATAATTATCTTATGACATTATAGGTTTCGCACGATCTATGCCAACTGCTGGAGCTGTAGATCTGGTAGCAAAGGCAAAGAATTTGGAGGTGTGCGCTACTTTAAGCCATTTGTCATGTTTATGGTGTAGTTGCACACTGCACGCTCAAATGCGCGGAGGTGCGGTTGTTAGAGGCGTTAATTTCACTCATTACGCTTTTTGTTGCCTACCATCAATCATTGAATTGCTGAATGGGAAATTTGTTTAGGCAGAAGTAGGAGACTAAGATAGAAGCGCAATTCTTAC